CCCCCCACACCCTTCGACCCACACCACCGCGAATTGAAATACTATTGAGAACCTGAGCTGTACAAACCACCATATGAGTTGCTGCCACCTAGTGACTGGAGGCTTGTTATCATTCAAGCATTACAGCAGTGGTGACACTTATGTCCCGCGTGTCATATTCGATTGTAAGCCCCTCACGCCCTCACCTGGCACGTCACTGCGCCCGTCCTGGGGGGCCCGTCCTGGGGGGCCCGCCCCACTATTTGAACTACTGCTTTGCAGGAAGATGCTGTTCTAATTGCAAGCATCATTACTATGATCCTTATTCCCAAACGTTAAAAAAAGAGAGTGATACAGAAATCTACCTCCTTGTGGACATTTTTGGTATTTATTCAGCTATTTTTATTTTGCATCAAGAACACAGACATAATTTAATTTCGTCACAATTTTTTTTTCTTTCTTCACCATAATTTAATTTTCCTGAATTCCTATAATAAAAATAAATCTGATTTAGTTTAGTTTTTGTTTGTTTTTTTGCTACTGCCTAATGAGTAGCAATAACATGACGCTTCATTAATGTTGCTCAATAAGATTTCAACATTATGCCCAAAATTACAGTACCATACTTCTGGTGCCAAACCGATTTTGAAACCTCTTAATTTTCTCTCTTTTTTTCCCACCTCCTTGATGATAAGCCTGTAGGTAGTGACTGAGTAAACCTGGTATTAGCCTGTGTGCAAATACTAATTATCTTCTCACATTGGTAATTATACACCGAAAATCCGGTCCTCACTGTGTACGACGACAAAGAGAAGTCTTCACAGACCAAGCATGTGCAAACTCAATGGGCTGCTCACACACACACACACACACACACACCTTATGGGCCCAGCTATTGTACTCATCAATATTCAGAGTTAACACACACACACACATACAGACGCCATCTTTCCATCTCATTTCCATCAAAGCTATTCGACCAAATTTAATCACGGACAAATTTCCATGAAGGCTGTTTGTCTCGGGCCCCCGTGTGGTGGAGTAATGTGTGTGGTAATAACAGTCTGCAGCCCAAACAGACAGGGTTGTCATTAACGTGTAATGTGAAGCCCCTCTCTGTAACTGGTAGGTTTCTGTGTAAAACTAGAAAAACATATTTATTTTTAATTAATTTTTTTGTCTTTCTCTCCTGTAACGGTGATACTCTTAGTGACCTGGTGGTGTTTCTGTGCTTAGAAAAGTCTAAAAATCAATAAAGGGCAAAAAGGTTGTGAAGTAAAACTAAAGTATTTTTTTTCTTCTCAACTAAGGACAGTGGATCGATAATGCATGTCAGCACTTATCTGCTCTGCTGGAGTGTCCTTGGGCAAGACACTGCCGGCCAATGTTAAAGGCAGCTCTGTTGTATCAGTGCTGTGGTACTGATCACCGGGACACAGACAGATGAACGCAGTCAGGAAGGAAAGAAAGTCTTTAGACACATGAGAAATAGATGTGTTTTTATTATTAATTTTTTACTTTTAATAGACAGAAAAAAAATCACAACAAAAAACAATACAGTTTCAAATATATAGAGTGTATATGTATAAATATATAATATATATATTTATATATGTACATGTCTGTATCCATGCAATGTACATATAAAGATACATTTGAACATATAAATGTACACATATAGATTATATATACCTTATATATGTACATGTATGTATATGTTTATGTATGTATGAATGTTATGTCTATGTATGTATGTATGTATACATATATTTATATCAATTTTTTACTGTTTATGGTAAAACAATTTTTACAAAAATCATAATTTTATACAAAGCTATTTCTTAATGTTTGATTATCCTTATCAAATATATGTATTAATATACATATTTCATATTTATATATGTACATACATAGATATATTTAAACATATAAATGTAAACATCTAGATTATATAGCTTACATGTGTGTACATGTATGTATATATGTGTACATATATATTTATATACTATGTAACATTATTACACAGTGGATAACTTATTGATTTGTTTTTCAAGTTATTTTACTGTAATTATAACAATAATGCAGTTATGATTCTAGACCTCTAGGCGGTTCACTCGCACCGCTGCTGCTCATTCCATCTGTATCATGTAACACATTACAGGGGTTTTATATAACATTACACAATCATTAAGATTGATTTCAAAATCATTAGCTCCACATTAGGCTGTAATAGTGAGTGTAGTCCACATAAAAAAGTGCTGGACTTGTTTCACTTATTGCACCCTGGGTAATAAAGTGGATAAAGGCAGGAGCAGCTAATGCAGAAACACTGCCTTGGGAAAGAAGTGGTGTTTTTTTTCCCTCCTTCAACTCTGAGCTGCAGTTTTAACAGAGCCTACCTCCAGGAGGTCAAAGGTCGCACAGGTCTCAGCTTCCCTGGGATGGAATCCTAGTGATAATGTAAACCTGCCTGGGGCCGTGTAACGGTGTGGAGCGAGTCCATACCCGCTCAATTCAACACCTCTACTCAGGAAGACAGTGGAGTTAAATGAATGTAAATGCTGGGCGGCCGAACGTTGACGCTAACGGCCTGCAGTGAATGTGAGAGTCGGTGTAGTTTATACACTGACAGAATGACCTTGTGGGATGTCGGCATTGACGAGCATGTTAACTGACAAGGTAAGTGCTGCGCCTTGAGTGATGCAGCGTGATGATGTAAGACGTGACACCTGACCTCCATGTGAAAGTGGGTGTTTTTTGACAGCGGCTGCTCTTCAAAGTATCTCAGGCTTCGTCATTAGGTTTGGTGTGGTTTTGCCACCGTGCAGTTGCTGGTATTATATATAATTCAGGACGATGTCTTGTGTCTCTGCAGAGCCTGTGGGTGGAGAGGACAACGCTGACTCTGGTCCAGAGTCTTCCCGGCATCTCCCGCTGGTTTGAGGTGGAGAAGAGAGAGGTGGTGAGTGTGACCACGAAAAAACTGCAACAGAGAGAGAGAGAGAGAGAGAGAGAGAGAGACTGTAATACACTATCTACAGATACAATCTAGAGTGTGGCCAACCAATACCCTGGTATTGATCTCGGTCATTACATTAAACAACATTAATAGCCCAGGTCATGAGTCTGAGGATATTGGACTCAGATTGAATTTCCTACAACAGAGAGCTACGGTGTTGCTTTAAATGTCATTGGCAAACCTATAGTTGTTTTTTTTATTTTTTTATTAATGGAAATTTGTATTGAATGTTTTTCTCCCAGTCCACATTTTAACCTTAAATCGCTGTCTGAGATCATTCACACCTTCAAGGACTAAAGAAAACAGTTCTGGTCGCCTTATGCAAAACAGGCTGCGCTGCTGGTTTCTGTTTGTTTAAGAGCGTTACTCCTCGGTGCACGGCTGCTGAGCGTGCCGTGTGAAATTGTAGTACGCAAAGTTGGTGCTTTTGTGTGATTATTTTACAGTGCAATAGCCTATGAAATAATACAGGTGGCAAAAGCTCTATTAGCAGGAGGATGAAACTTTCATCTGTGGAGGGAGGCAGTAAGTGTGCAAAAATAACCAAAATAATTCAAGTTATATTAGCTGTTTTAGTTCATCTGATTTGTTCTATTGAAGGTATGTAAAAGGTGTTTCCAGGCGTGAGAACAACATTGTAAAATGTAGTATTTTATAAATGACTTATTAACACAGTGTTGCTGCTAGGTCTAAACTTTAGACCAGGGGTCAAAGTTGTCAGTCAAAAAGTCTGGTACTGACAATGATTTAAACAGAAATGAAAAATTTGAACAGATTTGTTCACCATTAAAAAATAAAAAATAAAATAAATATTGAAATCAAGTTAAATAGCCATATTGTTAGTCATAAAAAGTAGGATGTGTCTAAAAAAAAGTGGCTGCAGCATTGATGAGGATTAGAATGGCATAGAATGACGCGATATTTGGCCCACGGGCCACAAGTTTGGGATGTGGTGAGATTTTTTGCAAAAAAAAAGAAAATGGAATAAAAAGTGTGTGTTGTATGTTACAATCCCAACCTGCAAAAAATACAACCCCAAACTATTACGGAGCCATTATGTAAGCAGTATTTGCTCCTTTTTCTCTTTGCCTTCAAATACTTTGCAGAGTAAATACTGAAGGAAAAGAATAAAAAGTAAAGAAAAAACTGCAATAAATGATCTTTACAATCCATTTTCGTTTTTATTTAACTAAATTAAAATAATTCAATGGCAGTCTAATTTATTCAGCAAACATTTACAACCTAAAAAAAATCCTGGGAGAAGAACTGATTACTTGTCACCTGATTATTACATTTTCATGGTCTTTTCGGTGCAAATAAAAGTAAGTTAGCTCAAGACTGATTCACATCCATAATAAGACTCTCTCTTTAAATTTTTTTTTTTTTCTCTCAAAACCTCACCCACCACAGGTGGAGGTGAGCCCGCTGGAGAACGCCATAGAAGTGATCGAGAACAAAAACATGCAGCTACGCACACTGATCACGCAGTGTCAGAGCCGGCAGATGCAGAACATCAACCCGCTGACCATGTGCCTGAACGGGGTCATCGACGCCGCCGTCAACGGGGGGCTGGCCCGCTACCAAGAGGTAAGAACGACTGGGTGGAGGAGGAGGTGGGAGGATGGTAGAGGGGGGAGAGAAATGGATGGATGGATGGTTGGATGAATGGATGGATGGGTGGATGGATGGATGATAGATATGGAGGAACAAAATGAGATGGATGGATGGATGGATGGATATGGAGGAAAACATGAGATGGATGGATGGATGGATGGATATGGAGGAAGAAAATGAGATGGATGGATGATATATGGAGGAACAAAATATGATGGATGGATGGTTGGTTGAATGGATGGATGGATATGGAGGAAGAAAATGAGATGGATGGTTGGATGGATGATGCATATGGAGGAACAAAATATGATGGATCGATGTTTGGATGGATGGATAGATATGGAGGAAGAAAATGAGATGGATGGATGACGGTTGGATGAATATGGAGGAAGACAATATGATGGATGGTTGGATGGATGGTTGGTTGAATGGATAGATGGATGGATATGGAGGAAGAAAATATGATGGATGGATGGTTGAATATGGAGGAAGAATATAGGATGGTTGGATGGATGGTTGGTTGAATGGATAGATGGATCGATATGGAGGAAGAATATAGGATGGTTGGATGGGTGGGTGGTTGGTTGAATGAATAGATATGGAGGAAGAATATAGGATGGTTGGTTGGGGGGGTGGTTGGTTGAATGAATAGATATGGAGGAAGAAAATGAGATGGATGGATGGTTGATGGATGGTTGGTTGTATGGATAGATGGATGGATATGGAGGAAGAACATAAGATGGATGGTGATGGAGGTTGGGGGTTGATGGATTCACAGGAGAATGGATGTGACAAATATAGCAGGGGCAGGAGGGTAGAAGGAGAGATGGATGGTTGACAGTATGAGGTGGGAGGGGCTACACGGCCTGTATATTACAGTGTACAGTCAAGAGGCAGCGGTTCAATCCCACTGACACACACTTTCCGCTGCTTCACCCTGATGGGCGACAATTGCACGGTAACAGTACAGTACAGTGCAATTTCCCATCGAGGACAAGAAGGTTTGAAGGAAAAAGACGAGCAAAGATCTCCTCAAGAGTTTTCTCCCCCCCCCTCATATCAGAGTGGACTCACAGCCACGAGCGCTTAGTCGCATAGCAACCACATTTTTATTTGCGCCGTGAGTGCATATGTGGGGTGAACGTTCCATGTCAGTGTGTGTCCATGTTTGTGTGTGTGTGTGTGAGAGAAGCCAGTGTTTATTGGGTTTGTGTGAGAGAGCATGCGTCTGTGGTGGAGTGGCTGATTAAGGTTTGTAGGATGCTTGATAAAGCCACAGAGGTGAGGGTTAATGAAGCGCTTTCTGCTGTTTGTGTGGTTGGAAAAAAATGAACTGGAATCATCCAGAGTGTGTGCTTTACTTTTAAAGTATAGGCGGAGTGTTTTTTTTTTTTTTTTTACGAGTTACATACATAAATACATATTTAACTAAGATACATGGTGATCAATCTAAGGTGCGTGGAATCATTGAAACCAGTGATGGATATGGAATTCTGAATGTTCTAATCCAGGAGGTCTTTAATGACCCTGACATTTATGATGGGTTAGCGCAGGAACCGTCTACTAAATATATATATATATATATATATATATATTTTAGCTCCTTTTAGAAGAAAATGTAAATACATTTACAATAAAAAACAAAAATCTCAGGACCCACCTGCAGTATCCTCTACCTACCCATAGAGGTCAGCGCCACCTTTTGAGATCCTTTGCTTTAAAGGTTAAAAAAATGATTGCATTGGGGTTTGTCTTTCATATGTACTAACCTTATAACAGTGGTTCTCAAAATGGGGGCCGGGTCCCTCTTAGGGGTAGGGATGAAGGAAGAAAGAAAAAAAAAATTTCAATTTATTAATTTTTTTTAATTGTGCCACAGTGGGAGACTTCAAGGGATTTGTATGCACTGTAATAATGTTTTAGAGAAATAGCTGCGATTGTGTAAAAAAAAAAAAAAAAACGAAGTTTAGGACCACGGAAAATATACAGAAACAAAAGTAAAAGATCGGCTTAAAAAGTGAATTTATTGGAGACCATTAGATTTGGTATAATATTCTAGAAATAATCTGTGTATCTACAACTAGGAATAATTTTAGAAGTGAATGAAAAAAATGTCAATTTCATTTTTATTTTTTAAAAAAAGCTGTAAAGTTAACTGAAGGAACAGAGCCATAGTAAAAAAAAAAAATAAAAAAAACTTAAGAGAGATGATTATCTGGAGGTTTGCGGAATTACTTAAATGAAAAAAAGTCAATTTAATTTTTATTTTTTAAAAAAAGCTGTGAAGTTAACTGAAGGAACAGATCCATAGTAAAAAAAAATAAAATAAAAAAACCTTAAGAGAGACGATTATCTGGAGGTTTGCGGAATTACTTTTTGCAACAGATAATTTTTGTCAGGGGTTGTGACTTGGTTGAATCTTTCTTAGCTGAACTTATAGCAGAAAGCTACATTTTTAATTTCTCCTTTTTTTTATTATTAATTATTCACCAAATGGCGACCTCAGATGGATCCATTTCTGGGGCAGACACATTGCAGCTCTTAATAATCGTCATTTCTCTTTTTAGAAAACCACCTGCAGTCCCGCACAGACATCGTCCATAAATCCCTGCATTTTTTTTTTCCCGGTGTCATTGCAATCGACAGTCGCGGCTGGTTTACTCTGAAACTGATGCCTGGATTTTTAATTTTTTTTTTCCCATCGTTGATATTTAGATTAATTGGTTAAAAGTTAAAAACCCTGCAGAGGAGAGGGTGGGGGGGAGGAGGCGCTGTCTGATTTATTTGCCCTCCCCTCTGCTCTTTAACTCTAATTGGACTTTTCTAATGATTTACTGAGTCACACTGCGGCGAGGTCTCACTCCCCACAGCCCTGCCAGAGATTTCCATCATTCATTATCACGGACGATCATTGATTACTTTTTTCGTTGATGGAATCTTTCAGGTCAAAAAAAAAAAAAAAACGCAAATGCATTTTCTCCGACCCTGACGTCACTGCACACGTGTACCGTGTTCTGAAGCGACTACGAAGAAGTTGGCAGTGTTATATAATACTTTGAATGTACTTTGACAGATTTAATAAGGTGAGAGAACATGATATTATAGAGAGTGCATACTAATTTATGCTTTTTTAATTGAAGGTTTCCATCTGGGGATGTTTGTCTGGAATCATAATGGGACTTATTTCATTGAGTGTAACTGAATGCACTTAGTCAGTGGAATCTAAGTGTGTGTGTGTGTGTGCGCGTCTTTCTTTTCTAAAAATGGTCTTTGTAGACAGACGACCGTGTCCTTGGTGAAGAATGATTGTGAAGATCATTTTTTGCCAGTTTTTTTCTTTACTTTTTATTCTTTTCCTTTTGTATTTACTGTGCAAAGTATTTGAAGGCAACTCTCTCTTGTCATGGATTTTAATGATGAAGATGGAGAAAAACATTTTGCACATTTCAAAGACATTTGTGGTAAAATATGAAAAAAAAAAAACACGTTACACCAGTAACTGGTGTAATTTTATTTTTCTCTTAAAAAAGGCTGATTTGTTCTTACCCAATCTCATCCTTTTTGCCTTTTTGACTGATGAAAGCTGTGGAAAAAAAAAACGTGAGAAAGATGATGTTCTTTGGAAGCAGCCTGATCAGAAACAAGAAAAAATAGAACTGAGTAAACTGGGAAAAAAAAAAAAGTTTAAAGGTAAAAAAAAAGAAATGTCTTTCTTCTTAGAAGTTCTGTCTGTGTCTGTACACCTGTCCAGGCATCTGGCAGTTTGTTTGCTTTGGGAGTTAAATTCCTCTGTTTACTTGTTTGTTCAGTTTGTTCATAAACACCTCTTGTGTGTAATTAACAGAAGGGAAATGGAAAAGAAAAAAAGAAAAAGTTTTGTGCTGTAAATGTACTGTGTCAGCCCAGCTGGGATTCAGATAACACTGCACTGCAGAAAGTGCCACAGCTACAGCTCCACGTGTGTGTGTGTGTGTGTGTGTGTATAACAGATGTTCTCCATTTTGCCTCCTCACAGGCCTTCTTCGTGAAGGACTACATTATGAATCACCCCGAGGATGGAGACAAGATCGGGCGTTTGAGGGAGCTCATGTTCGAACAGGTCTGCAAAGAAAAACAGAAATAAATGTGGCGTGTACTGTCGGCACAGCAAACTGTCTGTTCCCATCTAGAGCTATTTAAACCTAAAGAAATATCTAACAGCCAACCTGGTGAGAAATGCACAGATACTGTTGGAGTGTACTGCTTACGTTGGTATTTAATTGTGCAAGGTCACCTGCCTGATTTTCTCTGCAGTGGTGTTGATCTGCGGCTGAATAATCTTCCTTTAATTTGTCCCACGCTTATGAATTCACTTCGTTTAGCAGCGGGTGATAAAGACTGCTGTACTATTTAGATTTTATTTCATCTAAATTAAATGTTCAATGATCATCAGTTCTCAACTGTTGTCTGAGTTAAAGCAGAGTAATGTGTAGTGGTAATTTAAGGGTCGGCTGTCAATGAAATAAACAGTATTTTCCTCTGCAGTAGTCATTCATATTTAAGTTAATGATATTTGTCGCACCACTAATTTGTAATTTTACTGCAGCTAACACATCCTTTAAACATTCCTTCTCTTTTTCTCTCTCGCTCTCTTTATATATGTATGTATTTATATATTTAGAAATATATAATAAATATATACAAATATATTCATAATCATATTTATATATATATATGCACACATACATGTATAAATAAACCTATATGTATATATATATTATATACATATATATTTATATATATAATATATAATTTCACATTTTTAAATATTATCACACTGACAACCACTAGAGGGCACTCTATCTGGCTGGTGCGACTTATACTCCGGATCGACTTATAGTCCGGAAAATACGGTATTCATGTTGCTAATTTTAATGCCTCTATTTTGTCAAATTGTATTGATTCTTGTTTCATTTTGGCTTTGATACACTTTTCGCCTCTTTCAGGTTCCTTCCACCCGTGTTTTTGTCTCTTCATTATGGTTTTATTGGATTTACGTGGCCCCTCTGACCCCTTGGACTCCTGCTTCGCCCAGTATGTGTAATGACTGTTCAGGATTCTGTTCATACCTAAGTCCATTTATTCTCAAGGTCCTCAGGTCAGAGCAGGTGAGGGAGCAGAAACAGCAAGTGTTGTTATTTCCCACAGTGTTTTACCAGAGCAAATTGCCAAAGTCAGAACTGTTGCTGGTACAATATATATATAAACGAGCTGATTTTTTATTTATTTTTTTTTTTAGAAAAAGATTAGTGGTCTTTAGTGATGGAATGTGCTGGTTAATTGGAGATGGTGTACCGACCTCATGCTGCACTGCAGTGATTAAGCATTAATTCATGTACATTCTTAACCCCAGGAGTTTCCGGCGTACGTGCGGGCCAGCCCGGTGCACTTCACCAACGGAAGTCCACGCCCGTGCAGAAACTCCATTCCAAGCATTATCAGCCCAGATGGTGGCAGAGGAGTAACCAGACGCAGGTGACCTTTTTATGTAGAATTATGTTAGTTAGATGGTGCAAAACACAGAACTGCACTACTTAGAAAAGTTAACAAAAGTTTGTCTTTTGAGGTAATATATATGTAAATATAAAAATGTGTGTATGCGTATATATGCATATATTTATATATGTGTGTAATATATATATGCATATACTGTATATATGTACATAAATTTATATGTCATATATATGCATATATTTATATATGTGTCTTATATATATGCATATACTCTATATACTGTACATATATTTATATATGTGTGTATCATACATATGCATATACTGTACATACATATATTTATATATGTGTGTCTTATATATATGCATGTACTGTATATATATATATACATATATTTATATATGTATATGTGTGTCTTATATATATATTTTTTTTCTTTTTTCATTTTTTTTTCCTTCCTAATATACCCAAAGACAAATGTTTCCTGCAGCCTTTGCAAACTCTCTGGCTGGATCTAGTTTTTATTTCTTTACTTCAGGTGAAGTGTTTTTTCTGCGTCATCCCAGACCCTGGATTTCACCCACAGTTTTCTGTACTGTTATTATTTATTTTTCTTTATGCTCTGCTTCTCACCTTGAAGACCAGGGTCTTTGCCTTCACTCCGTTCTCATTCCTCACCTGTGCGCCTCCATCTGGACATACACTGCAGTTGTGGACACTTTGGCCGACACCTCAGGGATGTCTCTGTGTGCCTGCTGCTGGGTCAGCAGACACACCGATGTGGTGTGGGCCGTACATTATGATGTGTTCACTGACCCTAAGGCTCTGTCCATTCGCGACATTCTTCTCTCCTCAACCTGCACCCAGGGGGCGCAGAGGGACACGGACAAACATCACCTCAGTCACCGAGTGACATTTGGAGTTTTTGCTTACGGAGTTTAATTTTTATTTTTTTTGTACTTTTCTCACAAAATGTACCCATTATACACTTTTGCCTTAACCTTCCTTTAAAAGCACTTTGCGTTTGGTTCCTTTTTTAGACTGTGACCTTTTGCCAGACAAATACTTTTTTTTATGAAATTCTGCGATTGCTGAATCTTCCAATCTGACATTCTCTCTCTCTCTCTCTCTGTTGTCTGTGTTCATCTTGTTCCCGTCCTACCTGACTTCTTATCTGCTCACGCTGGATCCTCGGTGAGTGAAAGAAAAGAAAAAAAAAACAAGCCCAGAAATAATTCAGACATGCACTGAACTCTCCAGAGACCGTGTGACATGGCTGTGTGTGTGAACACAGATGTCTACAGGATTTACTTTGGAGATTCCTGCCAACTCTGGTTAATGTCAGATTCCACGCTGGTGTAAAAACAACTCCAAAGAATTCACAGGGAATAAATAAGTTATCATCAGGGCTTTTACACTCACCAGCCAGATGTCACGTTCTCCAAAGTCTCTCCTGACATTTTCAAAGTTTCTTATCCAGTGTCTTAACTACAAGTGACAGGTCAACTCAGGAGAGAGTGAGGACTCACTTCACCTTTAGTTTGTGTCCTGTTCAGCTTGGTTCCAAATTATAAGATTCTTTCCTTTTTTTTCTATGTTGTTGTGTAGATTTTGAACCTTTTTAAACATTGGTTCAAACAGAAGAAGAAGACGCGAGTAGGAGTTTTAACATTTGTGTACTTGTGTACCACTACTGAATACCAATGCAGCGACTTCTTTAGGTTGGGCTTCAAAAAAATGTGTCATGGACTGGAAGGCACAAAAAAACAATCATAATCAATAAACCTTCAAATGAAATAAATAAAAAATAGAATAAAGAAGAAGAAATAAAACATAGTTGCATTGTTAAAAAAGCAAAATTTCCAGAAAGTGAGCAGAGCTTATATAGATTTTATATATATACTGTACAGTAATCCCTCTCTCTCTCTATATATATATATATATATGGTATATGGTGGCAAGAGTCTAGTATTTAACCAAATCATCGGTACTGATACCAGAATCAAGATTGTTGCATATTTTCGCACAATTACATCTAAATATGCCTCATACTTTTATTACAAGAAAATATTTCTTCAATGGAGAAAGTTGAACTGTCTCAGTGCTTTTCTCCTTCGAACAAATGCCTACATTTAAACTAAATTACTTTTCTGAGAAATGTCCTCAAGCCTGGCTCCATAATATCTAAAGTTAATAACAAGTTTAGACACAGGGAAATTCGTCCTTGCCTTGTGAATGTCTTTTTTTAAATAGAAAAAAAAAGGAAAAATTACAATATTTTCCTGTGAGGATGTAAAACGTTTCTCATTCCCCTCGTTTTTACACCCACAGATAATCGTGTCACGCGGCTGTCTTTACTAATGTCCATTTTTAACTTTGTGTCTCTGTCTGTTCCCTGCCCTCAGTTCCTCCAGCTACCCGGCGGTGAACCGCTACTCCTCGTCCTCTCTGTCGTCCCAAGCTTCCAATGAGGTCAGCAACATCACGGGCCAATCAGAGAGCTCCGACGAAGTCTTCAACATGCAGGTATCCTCCCGCACTCCCTCTCGTACACACAGACATTTAATCTTCGGAGCCTCGCCAAACAGCCAAACAGAGGCTCCTTAAGTCGAAGATTGAGTCTACATTCCAAACGTTTGCCCTCCTGCTCTCTGCAGAGTTCACTTAAAATACTTTTAATCCACCCAGCCGCCGTTCTAGCTTTATTTTCTCCTCACCTCTGGCTCCGTTTGTCTCTGTGTTGCTCTCTGTTTGCTCGGAGCTTTGTCTTGCCAAGCAAATTGTTGTGATTATATCAAATAAAGACAACAGTTCCTGCTGTTGTCCGCCCAGGGAGTCTGCGAGAGTCCAGCAATAATCTAAACTGGATTAAGCCCATTCAGAAACCTGCTGACAACTGCTGGCAGGCTGCGCCCTGCACCTGGCAGACCTGGAGTCACAGAATGTAGAGGAAAATATATGAGGCACAGAAGAGATTGATGGTTGTTAAGAGGAAATATATTCTCAGTAACTGTAATTAATTTGGTTATACTGTTGTTATTTTGAGGGGGGAGGGGGGGATTTGAGACAGTGACCTTTTCTGTTGCACAACCAGCTAAATACTTTCAGGAAAAAATCATATTTCCTCAAAAGTAATGATGAAAAAATAAAATAAAAATTTAAATCAAGTCAAGTATGGCCATGTCCACTCAAGTCAAGTCAATTTTTGTTTAGCCAAATAAAATTCTCAAAAATTTTATTTTGCATCTTTAACTCAAAGGACAGTTGTGAATTTACAAAAAAATATATAAAAAAATATATTCTATATATGATTATATTACAAATATATTATATTATTACAATTCATTATTATTATTACACATACAGAGACAAATCTAGTTTCCAACCTTCGCCCACATGTTCCTGTTCTTTTTTCAGTAGTAACTGTAGGTGGCACCAGACTTAGATATCTCAGCCCTTTTTGGCTGAGATATAAACCATCACTACTCACCAACATCGAATGGATGTTTCTTTTTTTTCTACTCCATCTTTAAACACACACCTGCTGCCAGTGAAGCTGCAGATCCAGGAACCTTCCAGAACAGTAGCATTTAGCCTTTTGACCCTTACTTGGCTCACTTCACTTCGTTTTGAAGTGTGTTGCCTTTTTCATACAGTGAATTCAACAGAGAGAGTCTCAGCTCAGAGTCAAAATGCACCGTCACCTTGTTATCTCAGCGTGTTCCTATATATTCATGGAGTTGTTTGCTGTCATTTTGTAGCCAAGCGTATGTACAAGAAAACCCTGTTACTTTATGATGATAAACAATTTTCTGAAGACATCGTTTTACTATAAAGTACATCGAGGACTCTGTTGCCTAGCAACTCTTTAACCAAACATGGCCTTTAGTCTCACAAAGGCACAAGAGTATATTCATGGGCTTCAAACTGATGACATCACACAGCTGTCGCCCTGTTGATTTTATTCATTTTCTCATAATTCATTATGTTAATGTTGTTAAAATAACTGAACCGTTCTGTCGATGACATTAAACTTTGTGTTTTCACAGCCCAGCCCATCTACCTCAAGCCTCAGCTCCAATCATTCTGCCTCGCCCAATGTTACCAGCTCAGCGCCCTCTAGTGCCAGAGGTAAGAACTACAGGAATGATATTATTATTCTGTTTATTTACAACATCTATTGTGTATTTTGTAAATTATGATCCCATTGGGATAAAATTCCATAACTGGCCGAGCTGCACAGCAGTGAAACATCGGGGACAGCTTTGAGCAAGTGTTCGAATTTGGAAAGTCTTCTTTGGAGGAAACGGGCAGAAAAGTGAGGAGGTTAGACGACAGCTGCAGGGGCATGTAGTAGACTGAGATTGGAAACAAGTGAGGGGGAAAAAAAATAAGGGACAGGCCTGAATAGAAAGTTAGTGAGTGAAAAATAGAGGGAATAAGCAATGAGCCAGGATGAAAAATGGAATGGGCCGAGACATGGGGACAACTGCTGCTGAAAGAAACATGGAGCCAGTGGAAGAAAAGAGGGAGAGTGACGAGAGATGACAACAAAATTGTTGTGTAACCAGAGAACGGATTTAAAGCGAATAGAAAAGTAATGTTATGTCACATATATGTACACTATATATATGATTAATTGATATTAATAATAATATTTCCGTTGTTATTATCTATATTACTGATAATAATGATCATTAATTTAATTGCACTCTCAGAATAGTTGTTATACAGTGTACTGATGTTTTTCATGTTTTATTTATTTTGACACAAAAAAAAAAAAACAACCCAAAATTAAACACATTTGTGGATTGTGGCTTCCCACGTTTTTACTGGCAGGAATTCACCCTGGAGAATAATTGAAAGTGCAAATGTTATTTGAATGAGCAAACAAGGCCAGATTCATTTGATGTTTTCTAAGGGCCTTTAACAGTGGCTAATGAGTCAGAACATGTTATTTTCAAATGTTCCTGGTGTTAAGTTTTTCCTGTTTTTTTTTTTCTTTTAGCTGTCTGCTGTAGTAGAGGAAGTGATGGAGTAGGGAGCCTGTGCATTGGAGCGCATTTGTGTGTTGAACAGGGCAGGTCATTTATCACGGTGTGGTGTTAGCTAGTAAGGCCGGGAAAAGAATGCTGTCGAGGCTTTAAGAAAGTGGGAATGAAAAAGAAAGAAAAAAAGAAATTGGTCCTTCCTGATTTGTGGCCAGGATTTGTGGCTAACGGTCAAGCGACTTGCTTTTATTTGGTCTATTATGTGTTTTTGCACACACTGCTGTGTGTGTGTGGGCTCTGCTCAGTGTTTTAACACTGCGCTTTGTCACGCTGAATGCTTCAGGTTCACCACAAATGGCTGAGAAACACAAGCATTCCAGAGAAAACACGTGTTTATCTCCCAGAGAGCGGCCGGTCAGCGCCATCTTTCCAAACCCCCTGGACCCCACACAGGTAACATACAGTTTACACACAAAACATGTTTTTTTTTTTAGTGATCACCAATTATGTAGAATTGTCTCTGTACCCTTTTCTATTCTCTCTGCAAAATCTCAAAACCTCATCCAAGTCTGATTTTGTTTGATTTGGAAAAACACCAAATAAAACATTGATTTTTGTTTTTGGTTTATTTTTGTTTCTTTTTTTTTCTGAAAGTTGGAACATGGCATTGGAGTTGAGAAATTAGTTCTCTCTCCAAGGTCATATTCAACATTATTTTTATTTATTTATTTTTTGTTTTGCTCAGCTCTCTTTGGAAGTACTTTATGTCATTAATCCACACATGGTTCCTACTCCAGGTGAACCATTTACCTCCAACTCCCCCTATTTTTTGCCCCTTCTACCACAACACCAACCATCTCCCGTCTTCTTTCACTTCATCCATACATCTCTCTCTCTAATCCTCCTGTCTGTTAACACCGTGTTTCCAAAACGTTTTTTATGGAGACCCATATTTTAAAAGTCACAAACCTCCGCAACCCGAGTCAATAGACATTATTCATAAACTCCTGGAAAACATGATGCGAAAAGACCCCAAAAAACTCTCGCGACCCACTTGAGGGTTGCGACCCAGTCTTTGGGAAACAATGTGTTAGCAAGTCTAAAGTGTCTTAACCACACCTTCCTCACTGTATCTTTAAATCAGGGTCACCAACTATATCTTTCGAAGGGACAGAATTTCTCTGGACACTCAAATAAAATTAAATAAAAATCAAATCTTTGTCGAAATGAATATAAGTATATAGTAGTGTGAAACACTGATCGTTATTTAAGTCTCACAATTTTGGAATCCCGTCATGGGCCGGAAATGATGATTCAGTCAGCCGGGTTCATCCCGTGGATTCGATGACTCATCCGTTCCCTGTTAACTGTCCCTCTGATTGGCTCGTTTTCACTGCCAGCGAAAATCTCAGCATCTTCACCTCTGCCGCCTCTTCTTTAGCCTCTTCTCTCTCTCTACTCAGACTCTTCAAATGTTACGTGATAGAAGGATCCTCTGAAGCTAAAAAAAAAGAAATTGTCAAAGAAATGTCACGTTTTCGTTAAAAACGCCACAGACGCTGCTTATATACAACAGGCTAATTTGGAACAAGTACAAAATGACACTGCAGGCTCTCCTCCAGCTGAAGGGCAGTACTCATTAACACACACTTCATCCCGGGCATTAGAAGAGAGAGAGAGAGAGTGTGTGTGTGTGTGTGTGTGATTGATTGTAGCAGAATAATATCGTGGTCACTAGTCGGAGCTGTACATCTCTGGCTGTCAAAACTCCTGGCACCGCTCTCCTCTCGCTTTTTTTTTTTTTTCCTCATCCGCTCAGTGACAGCGCGACAGGAGGCGGTTGAAGTCAACAGATAAATTGACGTTGCTGGATCCCCATAATTATTCCAACCTGACAACAGTGAAGCACGGGCCGCCGTTAATGGACTATTGACCACTGAAGTCATTGATTACTACAGGGTTTCTAATTAGAGTAGCTCAGTTAAAAAAAAAGGGCCAACTTGTTAGTAAATCTTTGAGGATGGAGGGGCAGAGAGGGTGTCACCGGCTACACACATCTTCTACTGCAGGACCTGGTGGTCATTAGGCGTCCACCACTCTCTCTCTCTCTCTCTCTCTCTCTCTTCCCCCCTCCCTCTATCTTCTGTCTGTATCTCCCTCTGCATATTGAATTTTCTGAAGGGTGCAAAAAAAAAAGAAAACTCCACATGATATTTATTTTTCACCATCCCATAGTCATTTACCCCTTCATGCTTCGGAGCTGCTATTGACCTTCTATTACCCTCGCCTGTATGTAATGTATGTGACAGTAATGTGGACATTTTCTCTCGTGTGCAGAGAGCGCCCCCTCATCAGATAGGTGATTCCACTTTGCCAAGGAGTGACCCTAACCTCTCGGCACCAGATAAAGGTAACACATTTTACACTTTATTTTTTATTTTACATTCACTGACCTCATTGTCTTTGTTTTTTCCATGACTCCAAATGTCTCCTGCAAATGATTAATATCAGCATTTGATAATAATATAATATAACTTCAACTCAATGTTAGTTTTTCATACTGGTCTCATTGTGTCACCTGGATTTATGGGTATTTATTTACCGTTCCATTACACCCCAGCTGTGATAGTCATACTTCTTGTTGAATGTTTGAAAAAATAACTCAGGGTGTAGAATGAAATCCACAAGGGCTGGGAAGGTGAGTGTGTGTGTGTGTGTGGGAGGAGGGGGCACCTTGATAAGGAACTAAGTCTGACCTGATCCCGCATGCACATATTCCTGACTGCACTCTGGTTTTAAAAAAAATTAAAAAAAAAAAAGTGAACTATGGAGTAATTCAGGCATGGCTAAAAAAAACCACATTTATCATATTCAGCTAACAGTTTTTAAAAAATGTAAGCTACAAAACATAGGAAAATAGTTTTCCATACATTTACAGGAATTAGCTAAAAGGAGCTAACACGCTAACTCTATGATACGATTCCATGCATTAAAATGCACAGAAAATAAACAGAAAGAAAAATGTGTAACATCTATCTCTCATCTCTGTCTAGTTTGCTAACCGCTAATGTAAACAGATAGCAGCCTAAAGCTAGCGAGCTGAAAGGAGGTATACTTTTGCTATATGCAATTCCTAGCAGAAAATTAGCTTCTTTTGGTTAGCTGTAGCTATGACTTACATGTGCTTGAACCAGTGTAGTACATAGAGTTGTCTGTCACCTCACAGCTGCTTCAAGGAACTCCGAGAGTACACTCAAATACTTCCGCAGACACGCACAGGTTAGGCTATGACTTCTAACACAGACAATCATTCTATATTGTAGTATTTCATCTAACCTTGCATTACAAAAGCAAAAAAAAATAAACCCTGCGGAGCTAATGAACATGAGAGACATTCATGCAGTATGTGAATGTGTATTATCTAGTAAAACCCCCCAGGTTATCATTTGCTCAGCAGTTTTTGACAGGCTTTATATTTTCAGTACTTTCTAGGAAGAATATATCCTTGAATTGAGAGCTGGAGCTGGTCCCCTGTGTGTAATCACAACGCACAGCCCAACAGTTTTATTACTTTTTTTCCAAATTTCAGCAAAACTCTGGAGTTGGAATGAGCAGTGAATTTTTCTTTTTTCTCCTTCTCCCATTGTTGCTCTCAGCAACTAAAGAGAAGCAGCTTTCCAGGCAGTTTGTGGAGTAATTAACGGGTGCGTGCGGAAGAGCAGCTCAAAATAACGTGAGAAGTGTGTGGATGTGATAGCTTCCTCGCGACACGCGGAAAAGACACAAATCATTCCAGGGTGATCGGTAAATAATGCAGTGAGAGGCAGATGAACCGCCACAATATGGTGACATCACACCATTGTGCATATGACAATGATGAGAGGTGTGAGAATTTACACCAAAACTGTGACTGGCTGTGAGTGTGAATCCTCACATCTTCAGGCTTGAACCTGCAACTCTTATTACCGAGTACAAGTTGTTAAATATGACACCGTCTTGTGTTTTTTCCTAATGACGTGAAAAATATAGTCCACATATACATATATACATACAGAAATAATGTGTCTTGAGGTCACTGTTACTGCAACACATATTTATTTACCGATATATTGTGAGACCTGTTTATCAGACAACGTGTTCACACCGAGTGTGCGAGTGCAGTTTTGTGTGTATTTCTTCTCCGTGGACGGCATATTTAAGCTCTTGACAGAGTGCATTAAACTTTTAAACGGCAATGGACAACATTGTGTGCCACCGAATGACACCGCCGCCGCTTGACCCGTTGCGGTAACGAGCGAAAGCGCTGCACATCAGTGCCTCGTCCCTGACAGTTAGTCGTTTAATGGGAGGCAAAAGTCAACAAATTAACGCCATAAATCTATGAGACTGTCTCCCCGATGAAAATGACAGCATTAGATATTTTGAATCGCGGCACCAAAACAATATAGAGTTTATTAATGTCAGCGGGACAAAGCCCCATCGAAGCCATAATAATTATGACGGGAGTTGAAGTGTGTGTCAGGCCAAGGTGTTATAGTGTGATTAAATCTGCATAGGGAGGAGGACGAGCTGGATGAATGAGTCCTCCATTGGATTAAAACACTCAAGCATGGCAGAATATATTAGAGCAGAAGGAGACACTGGGACAGGAGAATAATACTGTGGATTTTTCAGACCTGCTCTGTTCCTAAGGCTCCTGAAAAAAAAAAAAAAAAAGCTGTGCCTAAATAATCACATCAGGATGAAAATAAATGACATTGTTAGTCGAGCGTATTCAAAGTTTAGTTTCATCTTGTTCTGTGTTAGATTAGATTTTAGCCCATCAAGTGTTATTAAACAATCCCTAATCCTTTTACCATTTTTACTTTTCCGCGATTAATGCTTTTCTCACATGAATGAAATTGTGAAGTTATTCTGATTAAAAATTTTATGGCATTGTATCGAACAATGTGCACTGTTTCTCCAATAATTCCGCCCTCTCGTTGCTCAAATACAGTTGATCCATGCGTTGTAATTTACACATACTGTGGGAAAACTGTTTGTTTCAAAACCCCTTTCAGCTCAAAATACCATCTCACACACCAGACTGTAACATACTGACAATTAAACTGAGACCAAGGACTCGACAGAAAATCTGGAAACTTTTTAAAGTCATGTCATGTCAAGTTGCACAGTAGTGACTTATGTCCACTAAATATATTTGGCAGACTTTTGACTCTTTTGACTTTCATATTTTTATGATTATTCTTCTTATCAATAATAGTTTTTCATATTTTTATGATTATTCTTCTTATCAATAATTCCATCCTTTGAATAAGTAACAAACAAAAACAGTTGTTAAAAACAACAACTGTTACATAAACACAATACTACTAACTAAAATAAAAACAGTTGTAAAAAAACAACAACTGTTACATAAACACAAATAGTATTTTTTTTTGTGCATATTTAGGAATTTTGTGTTTATCCCAATTAATAATGACTGCATATTTTGTGTTTATCCCAATTAATAATGAATTATCTTGGTTATAGGTCTGTGATATATTATAATTCATTCACATCTTGCCTGTGAATGAATCATCTTTATAATTTCAATTGTTTAAAAACCATAGTTTTTTTCACTTTTTATTTGAATCCATTCCAAATGCATGTGTCCACTGTTTTCATTGTCCCTGTTTGTTCCTCCATGACCTGTGCTGTGATCTGTGATGTGCCCGTGTACCATGAAGTGAAACCCACCCCCAGTAGCTGGAGCCTAGACAGCGTCAGAGAAGGCGCTGCGTTCTTCTCTGACTCTGTTGGCAAATTGCCAGGCCCTCCTGTGCCTCCCAGGCCTCCGTACTCAGGTAAACTGGCCTGTCAAAATGAATAGCCTGATGAAGGATGGTACTAATTTTCCTCTCTGACTTTTGACACCTGGTGCTCTCTCTCCCTCGCCTCTCCTTGGCAACTTCCCATCTGAAGCTCTCTGCCTACCTTCCCTTCCCCTCTGCTGGTCACACACATTTTAATGTCGACTGCTTTGAGAGAAAACCGAAATCAATCCCAACAGATATTCCAGTCATTACCCAGGATTTGTATTCTGTGCTTTTTCTCCCATTTCCACCCCACAAAGAAGCGTATGCCGCTGCATTTCAGCAGCAGATTTTCCCCAACATCCACTCAAACTGTGGTTTTGTTATTTACTTATTTACAGATCCAACATATTTGACTTCTCCCCCACTGCTCTGTGATGTAGTGCACTGCCCAGCAGCGTTCGGAGCAGATGGAACGTTTTCTTCTCACCCGAAAACTCTTTTTCTTGTCCTTGTTGCATAGAGCAGCAACAGCTGTTCGATGTAGAAACAGCTTAAAGCAGCCTTAAGCGTTCACAGCACATCAGCATTTTTTTTCCCCATTGATGCTTTAAGGCTGTTTATTTTTAAATGACTCATGCTGAGGCATCCTGGTCCACAAAGGGGAAATACACCTCTAATTTGATTGCACCTTCTCCTCTTTCTCCTCTGCCCTGGTTTTCAGCAGGCTCCTCGGCCAAGAACATGAGGTCTCAGTCCCCGGCTCCTACGTCCAGATCACCACAAAAGGTTTGTCACGTTTTCTTTGGTTAAAAGCCTGTCTTAGTTTTTTTTAATTTTTTTAAAATTCCTGACACAGCTCAAACTTGCCTTGCCGCGGCCTCTGTGGCATTTAATCGTGTACTACTAAATCCTGGCGGGCCATCTCCTGGGTCTTTATCTAACACTCTGTCAAGTGTAAGGCGAGGGAGCTTTGCATTACTGTTCACTGAAGCTGCTAACTGCTCCAGAGCTGCTGATTCTGTAGTCTTTACGACATGACAGTCCCAAAATGGAACTGGCTGGAGTGCATCCATCGTGTTAGCTAAATGTGCACCTGTTAGACTGCACACCAACTGCCCTGCTCTGTGTTTAATTAAAACTCTGAGAGTGTGTTAGCTGCTCTGCTTCGAGAATTTTTACAAAGCAGATTTCTTTTTTTTGCATCAATGAATTTGGTATTGATTCAAAATGCAGAGCTTAGGGCAAATTTGGACGAAATGTCACTGTAATGGTTAGCTTAGTGTGATCTTCAGTAGCTCCTTAAATGTCTAAGACATTTTACTTGGTGTGATTTCAGGATGGTACTCAGCCTATACCAGCAGTAGATGCCATGAGCAGCTCCTAGCTTCCACACAAAATTGTGCTGATAAAACCTACATAAAGACGTAGGATAATTTGGCCAGTGGCGCCATCTGTGTCCTAGGAAAAAGTGAAAAAACCTATTATTCTTTTGATAAATAAAAATGATAAATCCTGTTGATGAATTCAACCCAATCCTGGTGGTCGCCCTCTGAAGCACCCGTTTCCTGTAAACATTAAGCTAACTTGTTGTTTTTTTGTGCTAATCCTAGGCTAATTAGGCTACCTGTTAGCATGTTACATTGTTCAGAAGTGAGTAAAGTAAGTTTAAATCCTGCTTCCAGCCAAGTCCCAGGTTTGATGTCTTCTTACATATAACAGCTACATATAGCAGTGATGTGTGTATATGTGTGTGAGAGAGAGAGAGATAGGTGGAGAGTGAGAGAACAACTTTCGTAAGTGTGAGTGACAGCTTGTAACTCAGCGTGATCTGTCAATCAGGATTGTGTACGTGTGTGTTTGTGGTTAGCCGTGTACCCCAGACACAGTTGTGCGTGTGCGTCTTGTGGCTAAAGACGAGGCCTGGAGCAAAATTGCCAGGCTGCCCATCACAGCTCAGCCAGACGCTGGTCCTCCATGGACTTGCAGCAGGCCTCCCATTATCTGGCAAATGAGCGCCCACACACACACACACACAGTGGTGAGTGCCACCAGGGGGCCATTACTGGACCGTAAACCCCAGGATAGCTGAGAACGTGTGTCCTGACAAAGCGACAATCTCTCATTTCTCAGAGCTAGGAATGATTTCTGCAGTTTCCACTTGTTTAGAAAATTGGATCAGTTTAAAGTGGCATGTCATCGGTGTAATAATACACTCTTTGTGCTAACCCCCCAAACGTGAAATGTTGTCCAGTTGTGCATGTGTTGAACGCATGCCTCTTTGTGTACGCCCTTTGTTGCATGAACAATAGAACCTCGCTGATCGATGCCGTACTCCAATAGATCCAATTAGTTTAGAGTAGATGTAATGGAGGCATGGTGAAATTGCTTAGAAAAACATTTTTGATGAGTGATTGGATTTTTGTGGGTGGAAGTGCAGCATATAATGTTTTTTTCATCTGGGTGCACAGGGCCAGTCAGTGGAGTGGAAACTCACGACCTTCTTG